GACCAAATCAGTGCAACCGAATTGTCCTACTTTCAAAGACTTTATAATGGAACTGCCAAATGGTTCACTTGGTTTTATTCGGAGGGTCATTGATTAGTTCTGTAGACTTTAATAAATCTGAATTTATTAAAGTCTAGAGAGTCACCAAAAAAGCAACCAAATCAGGGCAACCGAATGTTTAATTGTCCTACTTTCGTAGACTTCATAATGAAAAAGCTGAATGTGTATTATCAGGGGAGTCTATTGATCAGTTCTATAGACTTAGGAATACATCCAGCCCATCGCTCTCAATCAGTGCAAAACGCTTATGGATCAGGATGCGAGATAACATATAGAAAAACCAAAGCATTGGGAGCATATTTGATAGTTTTTTTTGCCTTATAATAAATTTCATATCACTCTATTAATCGTAAACATATAAACGAGCAAACTTAAACTCGTCTTTCTGTGCAAAATTATACACAGAATCATTGTATCTACGATGTCTAATGGTGTAAAGTAAAGCATTGGAGAACATACTACAGTAACTACTGTTTGATCAAATTTTGTTACATCTAGTGCATTGCAGTTCTTTTACGTTTAGAATTCCAATGACTTCCAGCCCATCGCTCTCAATCAGTGCAAAAAGCTTAGTATTAGGAAGTAAAATAACATATAGAAAATCAAGGCATGGGGGAGCATACTTGATAGGTTTTTTTTGCCTTAAAATCAATTTCATATCCCTGTATTATTCGAGAACAAAAAACGAGCAAAGTTATCTTTATTTTTAAAATCATCCCCATAGGCCAATTTAACAGTTAACAGTTTAATTACATGTACAGCATCTAAGAATGTAAAGTAAAAGCAGTTTAGAACTACTTTCTGATCAAATTATGTTACACCTACGTTTGCTATGATGAGGTGCGACTTCCTTAAAGCCAGTGGATAATGAAGAGCCTTACGTTCTTAATGATAAGTGCTTTTGTGTTCAACAGATTGCGTTGAAAGGCAAATTAAGTTAAACATAATATCATTTTGAATGGAATAGCGGAGAGCATTGTTATTAGACAAGCGTGATTTTTAAGTACATTTATTGAGAAGTATGACTTCTCTAAAGGCAGTGGATAATGAAAAGTCCCACTTTCCGCACAATGAATGCTTTTGTAATCAGCAGACTGCATTAAAAGGATTTAAATGGAGTAACTGAGAACACTGTTATAAGGGAACTGTGATAATCTCACTTGATGGCCAGAAAATAACACCAAAAGAGAAAAGAAATAGGGCAAAGAAAAACCACTGCAGCATAGCAGGTCAAAATTGGCCTGCAAATGACAGATGGCCCCTATTGCCTATCGAAGATGAAATCGGTGTACCGTACAGCACGTCGATAAAGATGAAACCTCAAAATGTTTTGTTCTCACTTAGCCCGAAAAGAACATCAAAAGAGAAAAGAAATAGGGTAAAGAAAAAGCAGTGAAGCAAAGCAGGTCAAAATTGGCCTGCAAATGACAGATGGCCCCTAGTTCCTATCGAATATGAAATTGGTGTACCGAACAGCACGTCGATCAAGACAAAAGTAAAAATTGTTTTGTTCTCTCTTAGGCAGAATTAGAAAAGAACAGCAAAAGAGAAAACATAGAGTAAAGAAAAACCACTGAAGCAAAGCAGGTTGAATATTGGCCTGTAAGTGGTAGATGACCCTCAGTGCTTATCGAAGATGAACTCGGTGTACCGAACAGCACGTCGATAAAGATAAAACCTCAAAACGTTTCCCAACCAAAAGTATTCTTGTCCAAATTTGTTCTCTGGCAATTTAGATAGTATTTGGCAACAGACTTCATATCTGCTTTGCAACCGCTTGTATTGGATGCTGTACCGCATATTGTTCTTTGGAGAGAGAGCCAGCCCTTTGCTATAACATTCTGCTATATGTTTACATAACGCAGAACTATACTTTTAAAGCCTGGCTATGAATTTTATGAAACCCATCAGATTAGTTGGTTACACGGCCACATATAAACTTGGGTAAGATACCAAAGACTAAAAAGACAAAGGCATCTCTCGAAATGTATAAAAACGTAACGTATCAAAGATGTACGATGAAAACAAAAGATAAATTGTAGATAGACATCGAATAGAAAATCAGCATGTACTCACACGTTATGTATCCCTGGTTGTGGAATCTCTAACAAGCCGCTGAAACCAACCAGCCTGCACACAACACCGTGCCGTAAGGATGTGTGGTAGGTTCTGTTGGACTCTTGTGCGTCGGTTGGCTGTGACGTCAACCTAAACGTCAGTGGACGTGTATACATTCCGCAAGACAGGCGTAGCCGCTTCGCAAAATACTAATGTTACGTATAAGTCGTTGAAGGGACAAATATATAACACGTAATGATGTAATAAAACCGTATAAAACGTTATGCGAATACTTTGTAAAAATCATTTGTTGCTTAGATAAATATTCGTACCATCATAGAAGTTGATAGATGTTAAGTGGCGCTGTTGATATTTATTAAGTGCAGCGTATATATTTTGCATAATTGTGATGAAGTTATGTAAAAACATTATTTTGTTGTATGCCAACCAAGTAACCCTGCCTGATTCTTTTGCTTCAAGATAAAGGATAAGGCAGTTCACTTCATTACTTGTTCCAATGTACTCAGTCATTTGACTGAATGTAAAATGCCATTTTAATCAGTTATACCACATTGGCTCGATGTACGAAAGATGCATAACCTAATCACGAAATACTTTCTTTAAGTTGTGTCTAGACAATAATTTCTTTTCAGATGAAAAGGACAATATCAATTCAGCTCTAGACGATATCAGGATGGTCAGAATGATAATAAATAGGTCGATTGGCGTTAATAAAAGCATGAAAAGGGTCGTATCCATTACTAACATTTAATTATACTTATGAACTGTGTCAGCTGTGTCAGGCATGCCTATGTGAGCGGGACATCAACCTGATTAAAATGTAAATCTTGCTACGGAGCAGCCAGTTACCTTATCGAATATGAAAGGACGCTCTAACACCGATGCACAACAAGCCTGAAATAATCCAGATAAGGATAACAGGTCATCAAATATTGAAGTAAAAATGCAAAACAGATAAGTGCATTCAAGCTCAAGTTCTAAAGTACTCTTATAACGATTACAATCGCTGCTGAGCCGGTGCCTAAATGCAGGTGCTGACTTTCTCAAACCAAATCACAACAAGCTCGACATAATCCAGTAGATGGAAAACAGATTTGCAAATCATCAATTATTGAAATGCAAAGGAAAAACGGATAAGTGCATTCAAGCTCAAGTTCTAAAGTACTCTTATAGCGATTACAATCGCTGCTGAGCCAGTGCCTAAATGCAGGTGCTAACTTTCTCAAACCAAATCACAACAAGCTCGACATAATCCAGTAGATGGAAAACAGATTTGCAAATCATCAATTATTGAAATGAAAAGGAAAAACGGATAAGTGCATTCAAGCTCAAGTTCTGTAGTACTCTTATAACGATTACAATCGCGGCTGAGCCTGTACGTAAATGCAGGGGCACGGACCTGATTTGCTTCATCCTGATTATTGAGTGAGAGACGGATCTAATGTCACGTCTGGGGGGCGTTAAGGACCTCATCAACTGAGTACGTGTTAGTCTTTATTACACGGGCGGTCGCGCGGTCGAATACAGAATAAGATAGCTTTAAACAAAGTCTAGAGTTAGATGTTCAAGGGTTAAGTTTAACAGGTCGTTCGGTGTAATGTAGCCAGCTGCCGCCGCTCCGCGTGCCTGCGCAGCTGGTGTGTTACGCCGAAGGGCGGTTATACAGGCTATACAGATACAAATGAAATATATCTTTAATCAGCTTTTATTATGGTACTCTTTTTCCCTGCCTTCCTTCAGGTAAGTCACCCTCTAATAAGAAAAATACAAATTTGTTAAATCCTTTGGAAAAAGGATTGGTCGTTGCTTCGTTCATTCACAAACCTGTGATTATACAGGGAGATGCCTGGCAACAATTGTCCACCACTGTATCTACATGTACATGTACCTTGCCAACCCAACCCTCTGATGACCCGGTCAGCCTATCATCGGACTAGGTGGCAATCGATAATGATTATCATCACAATCATCGGTCGACCTTATTGTCCGGGGTATACATGTCGCCAAAATGATTATGACTCAGTCTGGTTTACCTTTTCTACTCTACGTGTATGACTCATTCAAAAACGTGGACGTCTCAATTAATCTACTAAATGATGCAAAAAAATACGCGCCATAGGCCACACTGGGCCTAACCCTAAATTCTGCTTGCAAATTGTTTACATTAGTTCTTTGCCCTGCTGCCTGAACCCGATCAATCTAAGGAGCCAAAGTACAAAGTTCTATCAACGGGTTAACTGCAGGTCTTCCAATATTCAATAACGTTGTTATTCTACTACTAGACAGGCAACAGGAAACGATTTATTTCACATCAGCACAAACATGTAAGTATCGGATACCATACTGGGCATGACTCTGTAGGTTTTGGTAAGATCGAGAAATTTACTGTGTACGTTAGGCACCCAAGTACCTCAAAATGTGGAAAATGCAAGGATGAGTTTTATTTGAAGGAACAACAACAAAATTTTCACGACGTTTTTTTTAGTGTGTGTGTGTGTGTTTTAGTGCGTGCTTGTGTGTGCCAGTGTGTGTTGGAATATAGAGGATATGTGAAGTAATGAATTCTGAACGCATTTGATGACGTTAATTTATTGCAAATGCAACCAATTTAAGGTAAAGGTCAATGATTACAAATAATTCCAAACCAAATGATATTACATCCATTGTGGTGTTTTAGTTTATGAAGAGGTTCTATAACGATTTTTTTGGGGTCTTTTTTCTACTTTTCAGGATGACAATGGCAGTTATGAGGCTCAGTCTGCTGTTCCTACTGGTCCATAACACCCATTATATTTTCAAAATTTATGACGAGGTTTTTGAAATGATGTTTAATGAATAAATCATTATTTCTACTTTTCAGGATGACATCGTCGGTTATGAGGCTCGGTCTGTTGTTCCTACTAGCCCATAACTTCGGGTCAGACGCCTGCCCTGAACAATGTGCATGTTTGTCTTACGTCAACTGCATGGGCCGAGCCCTGACGGAAATACCCGAAGGTTTGCCGAACGACACCACCACTCTGGACCTGCGCCTGAACAACTTAGGCCGCCTAGCGGAAGGGATGTTTACTGCAGTTCCAAAGCTCATCTACCTACACCTGGACTCAACAAACATACATGAAATACACGACTTTGCCTTCATCAACCTAAACCGTTTACACCACTTATATCTGTCACAAAACAGCCTCTCCACAGTCCCCTGTGCAGCCTTACAGGTGATACCAAATCTTACACATCTCCGTTTGAGTGGGAACATCATTTCAACAATCCCTCCAAACTGCTTCGAAGGAATTCACAACCTATATGGGATAGAACTGGACTACAATCAGATACAAAGCTTGCACGAAGACACGTTTGCCGGGCTCCATGAATTACGCGACTTGAATATCGCGTTTAACAGACTCGCGGCAATACCTGTTCAGGCTTTCCAGCAGATTCCAAACCTGCAAACTCTTCGCCTTGACGGGAATCCGGTCCAAGTGATCAGAGCAGACGACTTTTCCAACACCACCCGCCTGGTTTCTCTGTCTCTCGGTAACCTAGGCAACGAACTTGACATTCGTGAAGGCGCCCTGTCTCACCTCAGTCTTGTAGAACTGAGTTTGTCAGACAACGATCTCCAGGATCTGCCTGTTTCTGTACGAAATCTGACCTCGCTTCTGCAGTTTGACCTTCGCGGAAACTTCTTCCCCATCATATTCGAATCCTGGTTCGAAAACATGGCGGAACTGCAGACCTTGAACTTGGCGTCCGTGAGTCTACAGTTTCTGTTCGAGCCTGCTCTCCGTGGACTGTTCTCCCTCCGTACTCTCTATCTGAACCACAACGCGCTGGAATCTCTGTTCGAGACGACTTTTCAGGACACCCCAGCTCTGAAGTCTCTACAGGTCAACAACAACGAGTTACAGACCTTACCAGGGGGACTATTTGCAGGTCTTACTGCGCTAGAGAGCCTATTTCTTTATAACAATAAGTTAGTCCAGCTTCCAGCCGAACTGTTTACAGATACTGTATCGCTGAAGTACTTGTATCTATCTGGTAACAGGCTGACATCTCTTCCAGAGGAGGTTTTTCATGGACTACACTCATTGTCCTTTCTTGATCTTTCGCTCAATCGCTTGGAAGAGCTACCTGAGGGATTATTCGACAATTTGACGTCACTTGAGCTACTCTATCTCCATGGTAACTTACTCACTGAAGTCCCGTCTAGTCTCGCGAGAATGATGACGCAGTTGAGGGAAGTAAGCTTGGACGATAACCCGATAGAGATCGACTAGTTCAATGTCTAAAATAGTCATCTTATAGATATATGTTTTAATCAAAGATAGTAATGATTAGTAAACTTGAAAAGGTAGCATTTGCAAAACAAATGCATAATGTTTACCTTCACATATGCTCTGCTCTGTTAATTCTTATTCTAACATATTCATATATATGGTAACACAGGAGTGTAAATCCCTCCTGCTATAAAATTGCAACATGATGTAACCCAACACTAGCTACCATGGTGACAGATGTCCGGTTCAGGTCATTGACCTTATTGGTTTGGACAATAAGAGGAAACAGAGCAAAAACAATATGTTTTCCTTCGGTAAATATAGAAATGTTTAATTGTTTTCTTTAACGTTTGGTAAGAAACGAAGGAGTGAAACATTATGTTAAGAAAAGCTTTGTACTAATTAGTGGCGTCTACTAATCAATAATTAATTTTATATACTTCTCAAGGACGTTTTGGGTTACAGTTAGGCCACACCAAGTAAATTTTATGGATGACGTCCACGCGCGCATTGATTTTGGCCTGTTCCTAGAAAAAAACCCAAGAAATTCCGCTTCCTGTAACTATGACCAAAGAGTCACGACAGTGCCGCAAATAGGTTTGTACGGACCAAAGCTTATGAAGCATCAAGCAAGGAAATCATGACTTCCATTAGGAATTCAGTTTGGTACATGCTGCCACATTTGAAGAAGCTTGCTGACCGCTCCATCTATCTTCCCAAAGCACAGGACGACAACTGCTGTTCCACCTGATTTATTGCTGTTTTGATGATGAATAAAAGACTTCTTGCTTGTTACACTGTGTCACCTCATTCAATTCGTGTCCTAACATTTGTCGTCTCTTAGTATATTAAATCTAGGCATCATGTTTTTTAGGACCCTTCTTGTTTTTTTTTTCGCCCTCTCGCATTACATATAGTCTCCAAAGGACGTCATCCATAAAACTTACTTGGTGTGGCCTTACAAGGCGAAACATGCTTTTTGACTACGTTCTCCACGTGTACTATAATAGTCGACCTACTTAGGAACTTACATCTGTTACTTTGGAACAAAAACAAAGGGTTACGATGTCGGCATCTGTTTTTCCTTCCTGTTTGTTTCATTGATTTTTTAGAGAGAACTTCAATGATTTGTAAGAGGAAACCATTTTTGCCTGTAAATTTGTAGTTTCATTTTGTTAGTAAATTGGTAGGATTTTACGTATGTGCAATGGTTCAGCTTGCATATTAGACACATGAAAGTAATTTAAAGAACTTGAATCCCTTTAAGTTTAATTTCGACGACGCAATTAAAAATTGAGTATCAAAATTGTTCAATTGTTGTATTCTTGTGCATGCTATGGTTGACCCACTACGAGCAGTAGAAACTCGGCTCAATACGCAGTCCAGTCACGAATAAATATGAATAATCAATAAAAAAGGTCAAATGGTCTTTTGTGTTTGATAACTCTTGAACTTACTGTGCTATTTTTGAACATGAGTTCACAAAAGGTTACCATTTGTGGCCTTGATACAAACCACTATTTCCATTCCATACAAAAACAGGCATCACTATCTGCAATACTCGGTATCTTCTTGTTAAGGCTTGTCGCCAGCTGCCGCTTGAAACATCGATAACATTGTTGGCCAGGGCACCACAGCCAAACCGCAATCTTTTACCCCTCGTTCTAAAGTTAGATTTTGGCATGGTGCTCAGCTAGGAGCCGAATGATTTTAATATCAGGTTTCTTAAGATCAGGTCATTGAACTTATTTGATTGGAGAAGAAGAAAAGGAAACAGAGCAAAAACAATGTTTTCCTTCTCTGTTAGGTCTTACTCAAACACATTCATATATGTGATGATAGGATACTAAATCCCTCCTGCTATAAAATTGCAACATGATGTAACGCAACACTAGTAATTAACACAGTCACAGACCTTTACAGGTTCAGCTAGGTCATTGACCTTATTTGGTTGGAGAAGAAGAAAAGGAAACAGAGCAAAAACAATATGTGTTTTTCTTCGGTAAACATGATAATATCATGATGGTGTCTGCTGTGCCTAAAATAAGCCGATTTTCAAAATACTTGTAAATCTCACAAAAAAGGTCTAGAAGATCCTGAAAAATGAACAAAGAGGTGTTTAAAATGCATCCGTTGTACCCGAACGACCCGTACGGAGAACTGCCGCCTCCCGGCAGCTGTGATGGAAGCATACATGTACTAACACCTCCACAGTTGCAATTCATGAAAACAAAAAAATACTTTCTGGGGGTCTAAAATCTCTTGCTTCTTGATTACAGCTGAGCTTGAGACGTGGAAAGCGTGGACTGATTATTCGGACCCTAGAAGTCTCCAACTTTTTTTGTTATCGTCTTTCTCTAGCAATGTTACCTAGTCATTGTACTGCCTTTGACTGCCTGTGTGATTGTTTTAAAGCTGAACAAAGAGGTGTTTAAAATGCATCCGTTGTACCCGTAACGTTTTGATTTAAAGTGAAAAGATTATGCAGTGCCCCATCGAATCTACCCACAAACCAACAACTCATGGCAACAACAAGCCTGACCTTGCAGATTGGAATACTTACAGAACTGTTTAAAAAGCAGGCTAGATCGATTTTACCTGTAAAGTTTTGATTCAACAGGAAAACGTGTCGCAGTGTCCGATCGACTCCAGACCGCAAACCCTTGGCGTGACTCGGTGCGGATGACCAGATGTCGCTGAGGTCGATACTGCGGCTCAAAGAACACACAGTTCTGGACACGTAGGCCTTCGCACCTTTTCTTGGACAAAACAATCATCACCACACCATATTTCATATCTCTGATTGGTTGACAACTTGGTATTTTTTTACTGCAATTGTAAGACATTCATTAAGAAGGATTAATACCGTAAAACGTGGCATAAGCATAGGAGGCAGCGGCGATTAGCAACCGGCTGGGTCTCCTGGGACTTGGAGATGACTTCTGTCCGAGTCTTCATCAACCTGCTGGTTCTGGGCCTAGCCCCAGGCAGCAGCTATGCCTTCTTCAGTAAGAAACGTTTTGTTTGTTTTTTATGCTATGTACTTGACACATCGTAAGCAGCAGTGCTCATTGAGCGCTTGGCCTCACAGGCAGATGATACAGTCATGATGGTAAGCTTATATTGAGAGGGTTACATACATGTTGTAAAAAAGGATTTTACTCTCGATCAGATCGCAACTCCTTGAGAATTAACTAAGTTAAAGCGTCATTCGTGCTTTGCCCACGAGATGTCATACAGCATATGGATGAATTAAATCTATCAGAAGTAGGTCAAAATTTACTAGCTATTGCAAGTTTGAGAAAAAATTCAATATTTATAATCTTAATAATTTCATTGTTTGCTGTATCTAACATAAACTGTAAACTGACTTAAACACAGACTACCCGCCCGGCACGTGGGGACCCTGGGGACCGTGGTCGAACGAGTGCGGATGCTCCGACACGTCACGCTACCGGACTCGGAACTGTGTGCTACTGGTATGTCACTCAATCCCACTCCTACCTATCTGTACATTCTGTAAATAGCCTTGGGTTGCGCCCTGTCATACGACACAGTAGCCTGCCTGAGACCCTCGTACAAAGCTTAGTGAAGGGTGAAAGATGCTGAATGTGCGTGGCAAAAAAAAAAAGAGAGAGTTGTCTAACTGCCCCAGCACTCCGCAAAAAGGGTAGAAAATGTTATCATACTCTTTGTGGGCAAAAAGAAGTTATGTGGTATGGTCAGAGTTATCTGGTTTGTGGGTTGGTGGCAAGGTGAGATAAATTGATGCCTACCTTCCTGGGTTGGTGGCAGCAAAATGGGAGAGATTGACTATAGCATAGGACACCTAACGGCTCTCTATGTTTCATGAAGCAGAGATAGCACAAAGGGGAAGCATTCAGATACCTCTATTTCTGCCTAGAGCGGCGAGGTAGTGACAGACAACATGCAGATGCTGTTCACGCCTGGCTGCGGGAATTTCGGCATGAACGTGGGAGACAACATGGAGACCGTCACCTGCCCCGAGTGCGCGGCTATCCGTAAGTCTGCTGTGTTTTAATGGGAGAACATTGACAGACAGAATGACAAAGGTCTCAGACTATGAATTCTAAGCTGAGTTGGAGACAAGAATCCGTGTCTTTTTATCCCAGTAGCAAGGGCTGCACGGTCAATGGGAGCTGATTTTGATGGCTGATTGATAGGTAGGTCAAGACTTAAGGTAACCCACACGGTCACCTGCCGAGGATGCGCAGCCATCTGAAGGCTTTTCTTTTCACAGTTTGCATTAACATGACTGTAACAGCAGTCCGAACCATCATGATAGAGACAAGCTTGGCTGACCGAGAGTTTTAAACACTATTTTTGGTTGAATTGACGAGCGAGTCAGGCGACTCCTCTAAGACCATCCGGAACGCTTTCTTGTTTTACTGGGAGAACATGAATGGCAGGCAAAGGTCTCGGAATCTGACCGGGAGTCAGCAGGAATTAGAGGGAACATGGGGGAATTCAGGAACCTGATAATTGTTTCAAATGTTTTCTCCCAGCTGAGCTTGAGACGTGGAACGCGTGGAGTGAGTGCTCGGACCCGTGTCTGGGCCAGTCTTTCCGCAGCAGGGTCCGGAGGTGCATCTACCCGAACGACCCGTACGGAGAACTGCCGCCTCCCGGCAGCTGTGATGGGAGCGTATACGAGCAACAAAACTGCGACCAGACATGCGAGTAGAATTTATCATTTTGCAACCTCATTGCAACTTAACACACATAATATAAGGATATGAAAAAAATATGTCTAGAAGTAAATTTGTCAATACTTTTGTCATTTAAACTTATCGGCTCGTGTTTGAAAGTAATTCAACGGCAAAATTGAAGGGCAGCACAACTGAGACCATACATGCGAGTAGAATTTATATATTTGCAAGCTCGTGCCTGAAGGTTAATTTTTACGTTTACACACATAATTTAATTAAAAAAGTGAAAAATATCAAGAAATGAATTATCATGGTGGTATTTATTTTCTAAGTTGTTTGTACATGTTTCAAATGATTTTATTAATTTGAAATCAATTTGACACTATCGATTTCTTCTTATTCTCAGCCTCTCCGGGCACTAATACTTATATATAATATTCTTTAATTTTCAGGTGTCCAGAATGGTGAGTACGGCACATTTGTGACTTATTGTTCCTTGATTTGTAAATTACCACACTAATTTCAAAACAACAGACCTTGAACCCATTTTAGAAGAACGCTGTTGCTTGTTGAAGTTTTGTTTTCAGTAGAGTGTAAATGGATGTTACTTGTAAAGCTGCTGAAGCCACTTCTCAGGGAACGTTATTCTGGTAAAAGGAACCCAAAGTTTATCTAAAAAAGCTGAGCTCTTCTGCCAAATGAAAATTGTATGTTGACTTGAAACCGTCAGCTGAATGAGACCTGTGGAGCAGCTGGAGTTACTGCCCGTCTGGTATTGCGTAAGGAAAGGGTGATCGGGAAGCTACAGTTTAACGAAACATTTTCCAAATAAAAACCTAAAAATGTTTGCTTAACCCAGCCGAATGGGACCTGTGGAGCAGCTGGAGTTACTGCCCGTGTAACGCCATCCCGAACCTGACCAAGCGCGCCCGCTGGAGAGGCTGTATAGACGGGGACCACCTCGGCATTCTGTATGTGGACGACTTTAACTGTGGGGAGGGGGAGACCACACAGACCAAACTGTGTCAGCAGGAGGATATACCCGCATGTAAGGGCTTTCTGCATGAGAAGTATTGTGCTTTTTATAAATTAAGGACTGGGCTTTTCAACTACAAGACTAACTACTGAGACTATGTGTGCGAAGTTGTATGCCACTGTCACTAACAAATACACGAGTAAAAAGGAATTAAAGACTCTTGCAATATTATGATAAATTTAAAACTTTTTTAAAACATTTATCTGTCTTTAGGTACCAGGCCCGTATCTGCCCAGAGGTTGGGGTATAACTCATGTGAGTATGAGAGCTGATTTTGATTTAGAGTTGATATGTGCAAGGTGTGTGTGCCATTCCATGTCTAATGTACCTTTCATTTCATAGCTTTTGTTAATGAAACAGACTTGTCTAACCTGCATTTAAATACCGAAAACATATTATCAAAATTATATATAACCAATAATACTCTTTTTTTTCCTAAGCGTATTACGAGTGGAGTTCCTGGGGTGAGTGGACGCTATGCCCTGCCCTGTGCCTGCACGACCCGACTGTGATCACATCTCGCTACCGCGTCTGTAACTACATCTACAACCGTTGAGATTAAAATTATATATTACAATTTTCATTTTATTTCCTAAGCTTATTACGAGTGGAGTTCCTGGGGTGAGTGGACGCCGTGCCCGTCCCTGTGCCTGCACGACCCGACTGTGATCACGTCTCGCTACCGCGTCTGTAACTACATCTACAACGGGCAGCTGGCAGACCATATGATGTGTGGGCTCGACTTCTACCAGAGTGAGGCATGCCCCAAGGTCCCATGTAAGCAAACGAAGAATAACCGTCGTATTCTAGACAGCAGGAGAGTTAGTTTATGTATGGAGCCCCCGTGGTTTATGAGTGTCATGAAGGCGTTACTCTGTAGAAACATAAACGTTAATGTCTCAACTTTTGGGGTGGAATCATGTACAAGACAGAAAGAAACAAACCAAATGGCTTAAAATGATTACTTTGTTGTGCTTTCTGGATGTAAACTAGATATTAGTCCTCTGCTGCTTTCGCTGCATTGTTTTTATTTACCATCGCCGTTTGCCACTAAAACTGTCACCTCCATATATAGTATTAGTTTGTGCCATAGTATAAAATGTGCTGCTGTTCTCGTAGATGCTAGCGCTAATGTTGCCGCTTCTGCCTTTGCTGCTTTTGGTGCCTTTTCTCTCGCCGCTCTTGCTACTGTACCTATTGCCGCTGCTGCCATTGCCGCCACCATCACCGCTTCTGCCATGTACAGATACTGACTGTACGTACCCCGGTCGCTTCCAAATATACTATGCTTTGTAAATGAAGCTTTGCTTTAGTCCCCATCATTACAATTTATTGGCCGTTCCTGTTTGAAAATGCGGATTTGCAAATGCATCTTTGTTTCTAATGCTTTGTAAATAAATCTTTGCTCAAGACCTTGTCATACCAATATATCTGCAGTTCCTTTTAGTAAGAGTTTTAAAAAAATAATTAATTCCTTTTTGTTTGTTCTCCAGGTAACGACTCGTACGTGCCTCTGGAATTCGGTAGGACGTCTTACAAAGATCTACTGTTATGTTGTTGCTTTGTTTGCTTTAAAAGTCCTTACCAAAGTATAATAATTTTGTCAATGAAGATGCACGTGGCTTGTGTGCTCTTTACTCGTTCCTTCCAACTAAATCAAGTCCCTTTGCTCCAGATCGGACGCCGTGTTATGAGGAGGGTGCTGGGACTGTATTCTACAAGGGATGTGCGCAGATATGCACATGTGCCGACAACCAGCACTTCAGCTGCGAGGACATGTAAGAACTGGAGTTTTCAAAGAAAGGAGAACCGTTAGACTAAGCTATAAGGACGAAATCGTTAAAAAAGGGGGGGGGGTGACGTTTTTCAGTCAAAGAAGAATATGTAACAATCAGACAAAAACGAGACTAAAAATGCAGTGTGTTTCAACCAGCATGGCTTCTAAGCACTCTGGTTATTGTTGTACATAATGATCATAGCAACGAAATTGACACTGTGTTACTTTTCCGGACATTCCTTATTGTGAAAATCTTTATTATAAGAAAAGAAGAAGAAAAAGGTCTTCCGTGCAATTATGCCGATAGTAGGGTTGTGCCCATGTCCATTTACGTAGCTCTTGGGTTACACACTGTGCGTTTCACCTTCGCACACTCTTTTTCATATGTGCTGAGTGCTAAGCAGAGGAAGAAGTGTGTACCATCTTTAAGGTCTTTGGTATGACCCCGCCAGTGTTTGAACTCACGAAAAGGGAGATGGCAGAGATAATAAGAATCGTCTTGTTTATATCCGCAGGTGTTCGAACCTGCCTTCCGAGCTGTTCCAGTACGACCAGAACGGCTGCCGTTACGTCATGAAGCAGCCGTTTCCCAACATGCCTTACTCTCCGGAAACCTGCTGCCCGCATCTGGAGTGTGACCCGGCGTTCGCGGGTAAGCGGCGTTTGCACTCACGTGATCATACTCGCCATCTTGGTGGTTTACAAAAGCTTGCTGACAATCTGACCATACTTTAATTTGACGCAGAACTACTCCTTTTTTTTACATTGTTGGGAATCTCGTGATAATGACATATTTGTGCACCCGTATGCAGTTTTGTCTTCATTACATATGTATAGAACAACTTTGAAGTTACCTTTATCGTAAATATCAACTACGCTAGAAAACAATTATTCAACTGTTTTAACTACTTTTAAAGGTTTTAAAATATTGTCGAACCACAGTCGGTAACTGCCCAGACCTGACCTGTGAGGCGACCTGTATCCGCGGGTACAAAGTGACGTCTTTTTGGACCCTAAATTATAACTATTTCTCTGCCTTCTCTTGACTAAAATGTAAACATTCGTTGTATTGTATACCATACACAGCCGGCAACTGCCCCGACCTGACCTGTGAGGCGACCTGTATCCGCGGGTACAAAGTGGAGAGAGGGTACGACGGCTGCCTGCGATGCTCCTGTCTCAATGCACAGAACATCGCAGAAGGTGGGTACTTGCTGTACCGACTGTTACCTTTTCTAGGGCAACATACTAGTATACTGATATACCTACACTCAAAATAGACAATTTGCAAGTTAAAGGTACGATGATTCAGAAGTAAAGACTACACTAAAGTAAAATATTATACGGTCACTAGAGCCTTATTAGGCTTATAAAGACAATATATATTATATGATATGTTGTCCTGCGGCAGCACTTTGTTTTCTCAGACTAAGAAAAAGAAATTGAATAGACGTATACATATACGTACATTTTCCTCTCAACTGACATGATTTTCCAATACCCAGAGGCTTATGGGGCGGCCATCGACTTCGACGAGGCCAGAGGTGGGTATATACCAGTCTCTGTGATTTCAATCCCTTTGTACAAAAAAGATATTTGCCATTTGATGAATTCACGAATATACAGTATGTTTTTAACAAATATATATGAGGTAATTATGCTGTGCATTTCTGCAGCCCGCTTATGTCCAGCCCACCTGTTGTGTGTTGGGTCCTGTGACACTGGATACGCCACGAACGAACACGGCTGTCTCACGTGCGAGTGTAACGCGCCAGGTAAGTATTGTTAGGCATGGGGAAAATGTTTTGTTTCCTGTTTCAGTCCTGAAAAAAAGTAGGGTCGGTAGGTAGAGACTATCTTTTCTTTCTTCTTATTTTTAGACTTTGGTGATCTCTAGTGATCCAACTTATACAATACAGCTTAACAAATTTTTCAGTTAAATGCTCTCTACAAGTTTCAGATCAACTAGTTTCTTCAAAGAACACACACCATTTTTCCTCATCCATTTAGTAGCAAGCGTCTTGAAAAAAAAACTGTCACAGTTTTTCTCTACAGACAAAATTGTAGCTACCATCAAAAAACCACGAAAAAGTGATGAAGAAAAAGGGTGGCCATAATTAAACGAAAATAGGAAACGTACTATGAGATCAAGAGAATTTCTGTCGGTGACTGGTATTGAAGAGACACCATGCGACGTCTGTTGGTCCTGCAGTTTGCCCAGCGATGACCTGTGACCTGAACTGCCCAGGGGGACTGGCGAAGGACGCCTATGGATGCGAGCTGTGCCAGTGTGCGCTGTTCGGTAAGGACGTTATGAGAAAAAAAATTTAAATAATAAATTATATTTTGCGGGGATTTTATTAGTGTAATTTACTTGAGAGCGTCGCCATCGCAGTCTTGTATTTCTTTAATGTGCTTCAATAAATAAAAAACAAATTTTTAAGAAAAATAATATTTTCTAACCGTGACTCATTAACCTGATGAAGAAATTTATGGAATCAAATTATGCTATTTTGTAATTTGAATAAATTTGACATTTAAAAATATAAAAATGATGTCTTTTATGAAATTGGTGTGTGTGACAGTTGAACTTATGAAGTCAAAATGAATTTACATCCTGCTGAAGAAATCTTTTATTTTATTCTCAGAAATAAAGAGTTATTTTTCTTTCAGACGACGGATTCTGCACGCACCACGATCAGCACTACAAGAACGGGCAGAAGTTCCTGTCGGACTGTGAGGGGGAGGGGGGCTGCTGCGAGATGGTCTGCCACTGTCTGGACAACCACGTCACCTGTGAAACCATCTGCCCAGCTGTGGTTATGGTGCAGACAAAATACTCCCTATAGCCTTTATAATTACCCCATGATCTCAATAAAATACGTGATACAGACGTTTATTTCTTACCGCAAGACCTCAATGAAAGGTAGCCAGCAGGCGGATTTTGAGTTTAAAAAAAAAGGCTCAAACAAGCAAAACCTAGAGCCACACATTGTGAAGATGATGATGCAACCATTGCTCAAGTTGGAGTAAAAATAAGTACTAAGTTTCTTTAGACACGAGCAAAAGAGTATTTGCCTTCTGACGTTTTTTTAGGCCCTCTTTTACCTCCCTGTTCTACTTCGCACTGTAGCTAGGAGTTAGTTTAAGATGTAGTCATTTATTTCATTTTTTTAAGTCCTAGACTAATTGTGAAAGTTTTCGTAGTCTAAGATATTTCGTTGGTTAACATTTAACCTACCAAGAGGATAAGGATATTAAAGATATCATTAAAAGATACAATGTTGTTGATTGCCCCATTCCTCCCGTATTACATTTACAGACCGCCACTACAGACTGCCCGACCCCGGTGCTGGCAGACATCCCGGAAGTGTGCTGTCAGCAGTACGCCTGTAACCATGACGACACGAGTGACGTCAGGAGGCAGCTAGGACTGGTGCAGGCACAACGTAAGATTTGGCGGGAAATGTTTCCTTGGCTTTACCCTTAACCCTGTACTTAACTAGTAACACGATTTTTTCTGGGACTGGTGCAGGGACAACGTAAGATCAGGCGGAAAAATTTCCTTGGCTTTGGCAGTATTTTGTATCTGTTGAAATAGTTTTTTTCAACAGGTTGACTCATATGTTTAGAGTTAGAACTTTAGATCCAACACAAGTTAACGTTCTCTCACCTGGAGCTTTCGACCAGACACTCTGACTCATACTATATATATTTTCTATCCATGAACTAATAAGCCAGCCTTTTCTGGCTAATTTCTTGTGGTTATGCCATGAATCAGTTGCTCAGTCCTATAAATATAAGCTGATAGGTATGAAAAAAAAATACAAAGAAAATCTTCCTTTCCTTAGGTTGGCTACCAGGGCTAACGTGAACAGACCATTTGGATTTGTATTAGTGTATAGTGGTCTACATTTCCATTGAACAAAAAAGTCATAGTCAGTGCCGAAGTTTTTTTTTTTAAACTAACGACCATTTTCATTTGTAAATTCCTCCGTGCCTGTAGTAACAGAAGGTGACTGTGTGAGTATAGACGGTACGTGTGATCTCCACTGTCTGGACGGATTTGCCAAGAACCGACTCGGCTGTGACATCTGCCAGTGCTCGACCGTCGGTAGGTGCCCAATTAACTGTTTCTATTGCCCGTATCATTACCGTTTGACACTGCACGACACGTTGGATTTTATTATAATTAGACTTGAAGTAAAAACAGTAAAGTTGAGTCTGGTCTTTTATTTACAGTCATTGTTAAATCAGAAATTACCGGACTTGACTTTTATTTACTACCATTGTCAACTACGTTTTTTTTTTCTGTTTACAAAGTAAGCACTGCCCGACTTTATTGATATTTAATACCACTGGTAACTCCAACTTTTCGTGCAGCGTCACAGTAAGCTCCATGTATTCTATAACAAACGAACTTTGAATTACATGTTTATTTCTCGTGGTTTATTTCCCCTTAGAAAATTTCCATACATTCCTTTTGATCTCGTTTATAATTTGTAGACAGTTGTCATATTTCATTTTTGGTATCAAAGAATAAAAAAAAAATCAAAGACCAGTATACTTTCAGCTAATTTCGTGTTATTCAGATCGTAACACAATCCTCTCTTACATGCATCTATGCTACAATTTTGTCACAGGTCACACCTCTTCTGATTTGGCTCAGTTTGTAATTATTCCTCGATTATTTTTCCAAACCTGTAGACCCGGGTTCCTGTATCCATGACGGTAACGTGTACAGAAACGGGCAGTCGTTTGTGAATCCGGACAACTGTGATCAACGCTGTGTCTGTAAGGATGGGGAAGTAAGCGGTCTACTGCATTAACGAACCCTAAAAGGATGATATATTTAACATGTACATGTAGACCTAGTAATAAGCTATTTGCTACTATGCTACAAAATAGTAGGATTACACGATTAAAATCCAACGTCATAGAAAATACCCGCCCAAAATTATAATAGGAATGCCCCCGTCCAAAACACAAAGACACTGGCTAGGAAATTTGTTAACATTACAAGTTACATTTCTAAAAATTGTCCACAATATACAAAACTGATAACTAGTATACAAACGTAGGTAGAACCATGCAGAATCCAGCTGTCTTGTTATGTACGCCAGTCACAGCCTACTTAACGTATGTTCGCCTGCCACAGCCAAATTTTACGGCGTCAAAATTGAATGATTTACTGTGAAACATGTTCTACCACAGATCGCTTGCGAGTTGTACTGCTCTGTTGGTGACGCGCCAGCCGAGGACTGTTTTAAGCTGGAGCTGCCGGGTCTGTGCTGTACGAGGTGGATCTGCAGCGAGCAGGAGATGTATAACACGTACGACCAGTTCGGAATACAAGGTACTAGTATCATGGTACCAGTGTGATTTGTATACCATTTTATATGTTCCTCGCATTTTGTATACCGTATATTGTACAGTCGCCAGAGATAGCCTTGTTTGTAATAGCCATTTGCTAGTTGGCTATCCCACCAGGCTTCATGTTGTTTCTACGATTTGAATAAATGAATACCCTTAATCAACCATACCACTAGTATTTTTTTTTTGACTTGCTAAAATGTAAACCGTCTGGCAAGACGACACTGACCCAAGAAGAAGAAAAATATATCCTAACGTACTTTACGTTTTTTATTCCTGCTTTGCTACATATTTAAAGGATCAAGTATTTTTAGTAATTTTCACATATTTTTGTATCAATCTGGCTACATTCTTAGTGAATAGGAACGCGGATGGATCCACGCTGACGGTGTATGTGGTGCGGCAGAACAGCCATCACCTTGCATCAGCCGGCGAAGGCAAGTAGTTCAGTTCCTTCTTATAAAAAAAAACGGATAGAATATGTGTGGGTCTAGTCTTTGGCAGGGAAGCGGTTGCAAGAGCATACTATTGCTAAATCTAGAAAGGCCGGCATCCAGACTAATTGAAAACATACATTTAAGGACAAAATTTCATCTAACCTACCGATAATACAGCCAATATGATTTTAATAAACACCCTATGAAAATTCTCAAACAGAAAACCCTGCACACGACCAAAACAGTGTCACGGCAGTACTAGACGTCGTATTCCACACATTAACACACGGTTTTCTACTATTCACATAGACGAGACTTCTTGTGAAACAGCTCGGACTACAGCCCTCAGCACGAATGACACCTTCACCGGCGGCTACGTCCCTACTTGCACGGAGACCGGCGCCTACACCCCCGCACAGTGTCACAGCAGTACTGGGGCTTGTAGCCCAAATATTAACACATATTTCTGTGTCTTTTTGCCATTTGTTAGATGAAACATCATGTGAAACAGCGCGAACTACGGCTCTGAACACGAACGACACCCTAACCTGTGGCTATGTCCCTACTTGCACGGAGACCGGCGCCTACACGCCCGTACAGTGCCACGGCAGTACCCGGTGGATTTATTTCATACAGTAACAAAGGCTATGTCTAATATTTCAGATGAAACATCTTGCGAAACTGCTCGAACTACAGCCATAAACACGAACGACACGCTGACTGGCGGATACGTCCCTACCTGCACGGACACAGGATCCTACACACCCGTACAGTGCCACAGCAGTACCGGGGAGTGCTGGTGTGTGGACGGACAGGGCCAGGAGGTTTCAGGCACTAGGGTCGGAGCTGGGTACCAACCAGACTGCTCCGGTAACAACGATTTGAAAATAAAAAATTAGCAAAAAATGAAGAGGTTTGCACTACATAATACATGTAGTCATTATGAGTATTTATTGCTTTTGTTTGTGGGGTGGGGAGGAGGCTTTGGCAAAAGGCACTATACATAGTTCATCAACGATGAACGCTCACTAAGTATATCTTGTATTCAAAAAGAATTTCTATAGCATTATATAGATAGTATCAAAGGCTATAAGTTCTGATTACATGTATATCTCACGCTTGCTACTGCAACAGTAACTACAACAGTCACTGCATATCAAATTGCTTGAATTCCAATTCCTACAGCTTTCAGTTAATTTCAAAGACTGTGATATTTTCCGCCCTACGCATTACGCCCACACTCTTAGCACATTACTTTTACTAACTATATGATTGGAATTCTGGACCAAATGACACACCGCCAACTACGCATGACGTTACGTTATTCTAAAATTGATTGATGAAAAGCTGTCGCGAAACCGAATTACGCAAATTATAACTGCGGACAAACTGTGATTTTGTCAATTACGGCTTTTATGTTTCCTAATTGATGTGATTTACCGTTAATAGAGGCTTTTTAGGTCATTTCCTGATCCGGTAACTGCATTAGTAGCTGTTTTATCATTCATAACGCACTATCAATATAGATTCTACATGGTAAGGGTGAATGATTAGAATAGTGAGCAAGGATGGATAAGGCAAAAAAATATTTAACATTTCAGAATGGGTACCCTTTCAAGAAGAAAATACCATGTTTAGCATTACATAAGCTATTAATATTGAATTGTTATTCAAATTGTGTATAACCTGTACTAATTGTTGGTGGTGAGTCTAACAAAAAAGTGTCATGTGTTTTACACTTTTTTTCGGCATATATTGGCGTTGGATACCCTATACACCCAGCTAGACTGTGTTAACGTTGTGTCTGTTTTTAGCGTAACTGTCTAAATATTGAAGTCTAGGCAGGGAGGATGCCTATTTTTAAATGCAAACTTTATGCACAACTTCAATGTGCTTTAAGTTGTACTATATTAGGTAGAAAAAAAAATAAGCATGTATCAGTCCCGACTCAATACAAACGTAATGGCCACCTATACGACCATGGGTATAGTAGAAA